TAAAAAAAATGGAAGGATTTTTGCGCCTCTCGACACTTAACTCTCGCCAATGTCACTCTCAGCTTGACTGAACTGGATGGAAAATTGTAATTAAGACGTTTCTCTAGAGATTTCCTTGGCACTTAGAATGAAGAGTTAATGCTTGAAAATCTGAAGAAATTAAAGCAACTACGTAATGTTATTCTTAAAACATTTTACGTGAAAACTTTTTAAAATTGAAATATGATTTCAAAATTTTAATATGTTTCATCACAATACTATTTTTAAAAAACTTTTTATTTATAGAAATGAAAATTATCTCAAATAAAAAATTAATTACAAGTTTTAAATAATAATCAAAGATGCACGAAATAATTATTTCAACAAAACTTAAAAATTTATTTTATTAATTTAATTAAAATTAAAGTTAAGAAATAAAAAATTCTTTTAAAAATGTTACAAAATTGAAATAGAAAAATATTTCAATACAAAAACGGTATATGTAAAAAACTAAAGCACACGAAGGAATACTGAATAGAATAAACAATAAAATGCAAACAAGAAAGCAGTATTTCGAGAAAAATTAAAATTTGAATATAAAATAGACTATACGATAATGCAAAATATTGAAACGGAATTCTAATATATATAATATAAATTCTATAGAGAAAGTGCGAAATAGAGAATGCGGAAACGGAATACAAAATATGACGAATATCATCTTCAATATATAGTATACACATATATATATATATATATATATATATATTTTTATGTATAAGACAGAAGAATTTTATTGTACACTGTGATTGAACAAAAGGAAAGTAGGTTGCCACGAATTATTTAAGTTCCTATCTGTTCTTCCATAAAGGATAGAAAGGTCAATATCGTTAAGAACGATTCTTCGATTTAACGGGAATAAGAATTTTTTTTTTCAGTTGAATTGTAATAAATGTTTAAATAGCAATAGTGGGATAGACGCTTTCTGAAATATTCAAGAGATAAAAATTTTCTTGTATAATAAAAATTCAATTCACTTTATCATTTTTCTAATAAATCATATATATCTATTAGAACGCTTTAATTCGACAAATTTTTATGAGGAGATAGAGAGATGTGAAATTAAAATTTTAAATAATGCTAAAGTTATTTAATTACTTTATTGATTTAAGAATTTTTCAGATTTTTCTAGGTCGATATTTCGAACCACTTGTTGATTTAGACAGACCATCGCTAACTCTACGAAAAATGTATTGATCCGAAATTTTATGGTTTAAGCAATTTTGTGCATCAGCCTAAACGCTGCAATTGCCTGCAAATATAATATAAAGTAACTTGATTTTGCATAAATGATACAGTATGAACATACCTTTAAGCTTTACTTGCGTAATACACGTGCAAATTGTGTCCGTACCCTGACTTTAACTTCTGAATTTATTAATGCTACCCAACCCTGAAATAAATTCGATTCCAACCTAACATGACTGATGACAGTTAATAGAATTGTTTCAAGTAATGATTTTAATTGATAATTTTTAAAAGAACTGTTTCATAATAAGATAAGATGTCAGAAAATAAAAAGCATTATGGGTCGCTACTACAGAAAAAGAAAATTACAATAAACTGCAGAGTTGCAAAAGCAAGCTATTATTTTCTAAATTATAATTTATTGTAGCTCTTTATGACTCCAGCAGTACTTGACAACATCGAGACATTTCGTGTGACACACGAGTATTTTTGACGAAAAGTAAACAAAGCTATTTTTCTAAATAAATACCGTTAAAGTTCAAAAAATGAAAGAATAAGTGAGATTAAAATCAAAAAGTGACAAAATTAATAATAATTGTCGATATAAGTAGCAATTTTATAATTCAAAAATTTTTGTAAATTCATGCATCCTAATGCAATTAGAAAATTTTGTAGAGGTTAGAAAATATTTTTTCTTTTATTTCTTTTTAATTTAATGAATGTAATTTAATTGTGCTCTCAAAATATTACGTAAATAAATTTCAAAAATATATTCTTAAATAAATATTATGGAAAATATTGGAATCAAAGTAAAATAGATTTTTTATCATTGAATAATGTCTAAGAGGTTGTGATTTTCTCTTGTTATTTAGCTTTTTTCTGTGGTATTTTTGCGAATGAAAATTTAATTCAAAGCTTATTTGCAGCTATTATTTTAGGTAGTATAAAGAAATTTATTAAATTAGAGTTTTTAGGCCAGATTTTTTCACATTAATTTGTTTATTTAGTAAACGACGTTTCAATAACAGCCGCTACCCTTATCAAGTTTACATAAGAATTGCTAAAAATATAAAAAAATAGATTTTAAAATTTATAATACAATATAAAAATATTTTTATTTCACATTAAATTTGGAAAAAGTTGTACTTACGTTAAATATTGTTAAATTAATTATTTGTTCTTTTATCATCTTTTAAAATAATTCAAAGAGGTTATGTTTAACATTCTCTTTAATGTCTTTTATATTATGGTAATTGTTAAAAAATATTGTCTTATTTTTTAAAATAATGTATTTATTTATATTATTTTTTATATATTATAAATTTTAAAATCTATTTCTATATTTTTAGCAATTGTTATGTAAACTTGATAAGGGTAGAGGTTGTTACCGAGACGTCGTTTATTAAATAAACAAATTAATGTGGAAAAAATCTGACGTAAAAATTCTAATTTAATATTATTATTACCACATAAATAAAATCTTAAATAAAGAAATTTATATTATAAAGAAATAATTTTTATGTATAATTTTTAATAAAAATAGATAATGAAATATTAAATTAAGATAGATAATAAATTCATTTTTCAGTCATTAATAATCTAATTTTAATAATAAAAATCTTTTTCTAAACAATAATTTAAATTTTTCATTGAAAAAAATTTGTTTATTTAAATTAGTTTGTAAATTTCTGTTCTCTTTTTATTGCAGTGTTTATCTTATAAAACTAAATTTAAATTTCCCCGCTTCATTTGCCATTCAAAACTGCTGAAGTCAAGTGTACGATTATTTTTGTAGTTACTCAGCGACTCCTATTGTGCTCTGCCTTCACTTTTACATTGCGTTTCACTCCCGTGGTTGGTTCTAGCCAGAGTAGTGATTCATTTAATGTTACAAATTATTAAGAATCACTTGAATCATCAGAGGTGAATTTGCATTTTAATCTAAAAAATACTTAATTACTTATTGTTATTTTAATAAGCCTATTTAATTTACAATAATGCTGCTAACTATTTATAGTCTGCAATTGAATCGTTTTATCATTATAGCAAAACTGTTGGTCAAAAGCTTTTAGATAACATAAAAATATATGTAATAGAAAAAAATTTTAAATAGAAATAAACTAGTAAATAATTTATTTACTATTTTCCAAAGTATTGCAAAGTTCCATTGTAACATTGTAAATTATAGTATATTCATTTCATTATATAAAAAATGGATCAAGACATCAAAATAAATCATCAACTACTGGACGGTGAGTCCTAAAATTACTAATTGGAATCGTTCCTTAATAATTGATGAATAATAATTGACTATTAAGTATAATTCATAATTATTTTAAAAATTGTATTACATATTTGATGAAAATCGAATCTTCTTTATTCAGCCCTATGAATATATTCTCTAATTTGACCCTCTGTCAAATGCACGTAAATTGTCAATATTATACGAATAAACTGATTATTAATAAATGATTTACTTCAGTGGTGTTTATCCTCACCATCCCATTTCAGCGTCAATAATTTATGGTCATAGAAAACTGGGCTAGTATACATTTCCGAAAATATTTTCATTCTTTTTGTTAAATAATTTTTTTTTGTAAAATAACGTTATGTGTTTCAATAATAGTTAAAAATTTCAATATCGAATTAAATTTTCCTAAAATATTTTATTAAAATTCTTTATTCGTATACACAATTGTTGTACTATTTAGAATAATATAATTTTAAAACTAAAAACCAATATTTAAAAAATTTGAAAATAAATGATAATTTATCGATTTTTGAATTACGTTTCCAACAGTTTCATAATTATGTGACAAGTGTATATTCAATTTTAGAAAGATATGACCTATTATAATATTTTAAGAACCTCATGAATTCAAAATTATATACGAGAGTAGATAAAATAGGTAGTCAAGATACTGAAAATGATGAGATTGCAAACTCAGTAGAAGATAACCCACCCATAACTGTCCATATATGGCTGAACTCCAGGACCTTCTGTATTTCTTCACATCTCAAATTGCCCAATAATGAAGTAGCCAAAGATGTATCCTAGAATTTTATTACCTTTTTCGCAAATAATTTACAACCACCGCAAAACTAAAATGCTTTTTTTAAATTTTTTCCCTCTCAATTGTCATCAAACAATATAAAAAGTTAATTTCATTAAAAATTTATTTCTCCCACATATTAAATTTCTTTTTAAATTAAAAATTATAAAAATTAAATATTGCTTTCAATAAAATATTTTTCCAATTTTTTTCTATATATATATGAATATAATAGTTGAAGTCAATTTGAAACTTGCTTTCAATAATTTTTATCGGGTCACGCAAAAGTAAATGATAACATTGTTAATTCTAAACGGCATTATTATTGATAAAATATTCTTTTGTATTAATAATTTTATGAAATAATTAATTTTCTTTGTTATTTCTGACATATGTTTATTGAAAAATTGAACTATATAAATATTTATATGTAATTGTTATCACAAAAGTTTGATGCTACAAATATTTTTTTTATTCAGAATTTTAAGGAATTTTTAGAAATGTATAAACAAATTTCATAGATTGGTATGAAATTAAAAAAGAGATTGAAATTTTTAAGCATTTCGAGGAAAATAAAAAAAAAATTGCAATTATTAATTATTTTATATCCGTTTGTTTAGTGAATCTTTTCTCATATATTTTATTATAATATAATATTTAAAACAAGAATTATAAACTAGTTTAACAACTTTATTTTATCATAAATACGTCCCACCTTTTAAAAAATGGTAACATTTTTATAACTTATATTTTTTTTAATAAGTTTCTATAATCATTTGACAAAAAAATGTTGAACAAAATGTTTTCCTCTATTTTAGCCAATTTTTTTCTTTTATTAATAATTGGTGGATTTTCAACGACTGTTTTAATTGTAAGTTTTTGATAAAATTCTTTACAAAATTAATAAAATGTAAATTCTTATTTTCTTTTCTAAATAAAAGAAATTACCGTAAAAATTTTTTTTCAATTATTTTTTATATTAAAAAATTTAATAAATTCTAAATGTTTGCATTTTTTAAGCGAAAAACTTTTTAAAGTGATTTTTAAAATCACTGCCTTATCGAAATTTGCAATTTATGATAATTTTTCTAATGTTAAATCAAACGTAATGGTGATAATGTAAGTTAATTACTGTTTATGAGTAAAATTGAAAAAAATACGCTTGAATAAATGCACTGAAAAAAAAATTTATTTGATTCAAATACCGGTGTATTTGGTTATTATCAAATAAATATTTACTTGAATCAAATATTTCTTATTTGAATCAAATATATAGTATTTGAATCAAATATTTCAGTATTTGAAGCAAATACCATTTATTTGATTCAAATAAGAAATATTTGATTCAAGTAAATATTTATTTGATAATAACCAAATACACCGGTATTTGAATCAAATAAATTTTTTTTTCAGTGTGCGTACAATGAAAAATTATCACTTTAACAATTAGTGTACAGTATTGGCTAAAATTGTTAATGCAGAAAAAAATTTCTGCAAAATGAGAATTGTAAATAAATTCAAAAATCAATAGTTTCAGAAACTAATAATAATAATTATAATTACAGAATTGCACAGCAGCAAAAAATGGATTAACAGAACTTAAAGAAATAGCATCTCCTGAACTTATATACAATGAAGTTGGGGAAAGTTCAGGTAGTGATGACAAAGATGGATCAACTCCTAGTTCTGGAGAAGGTTCTACTCCTGATTCTGATGGGAATACTACTCCTAGTTCTGGAGAAGGAGAAGGTTCTACCCCTGACTCTGATGGGAATACTACTCCTAGTTCAGGAGATGGAGAAGGTTCTACTCCTGACTCTGATGGGAATACTACTCCTAGTTCTGGAGAAGGAGAAGGTTCTACCCCTGACTCTGATGGGAATACTACTCCTAGTTCAGGAGATGGAGAAGGTTCTACTCCTGACTCTGATGGGAATACTACTCCTAGTTCTGGAGAAGGAGAAGGTTCTACCCCTGACTCTGATGGGAATACTACTCCTAGTTCAGGAGATGGAGAAGGTTCTACTCCCGACTCTGATGAAACTAGCACACCCAGTTCAGGTAGTGATGACAAAGATGGAACAACTCCTACAACAGGAAATGGATCCACCTCTAATTCTAATGGCAACAGTACACCAAGTTCAGATGACGATGATAAAAATGGATCAACTCCCAACTCTAATGCAACTCCTACACCAAGTCCTAATAACAAAAAGAATAAAAAATGCACATTCCGTTTGTATTGCTACATTAAAAATAAGATATTAAATTTTAGATGTTGGATTACTAGGGCTATACTTAGAATAAAATTTCTTAATTTTTTGACTAACGGTCGCATATATTCGTGGTACGTGAATAAATGTCCTTACAATTAATGGAATTTTTATTATTTAACTTGTTGTCAGGTATTCATTAATAAAATTTTTAAAAAAATAAATTTTTAATTAAAAAAATTAAATATTAATTTTTAATTATAAATTAATTACTACTAAATACTTATTGTATATTTTAAATATCCAAATTCTAAAATTTCTGAAAATTGTTAATTTGTAATCAATAAAGTGTCCTCGAAAATAATGCCTTTATTTTGTTTCGTAATGTAATTTTCGAACGTTATCTTCTTTTTGTTACAAAATTATATATTTTTTTTTTTTGGTAATGACCTACTTTTAACACTATTTTATTTATCTAATGTGATAAAAGAATGTAATTTGAATATTTGTAGATTTTTGTTAAACTTTCTTTTTATTTTAGTCATTAGCTACATATTTTGGAGTTAGTCATTTCGCTATAATACGAAAGATTTAATACGTTTTTAAAAACAAAATTAAATTTACGTTTCTTTAATTTAAAAACATTTATTTATTTCAATATTTAGATTGTTTTTATTTTTTAATAGAAAAAAGTTTTCAGTGCTTAAAACAACTAAATCATTACAAAAAAAACTGTTGTATTAAAAATTTATTTAAATTAATTTTTATTTTGCAAAGTTTTAATTTAAAAAAAATATTGAGAAAAATTTTTCTATATACGTACAAAATAATGAATTACCTATGTATTTTGTTTAGTATTACATTCATTTCGTTTGGAAAATCCAACAAAGTAAGTATTAATTTATTAGAAAAGCTTAGATAAATTGTGCAATAAAAAAATATAATATTTTGCGATTCTTAAAATTTAAAGAGATCAAAATAAAAGTGGTGCCTCCCTTTAAATATTAATTCAATCGCACAAGGAAATTTAGATTAAATTAGCCAGTAATTTTTCTTTTAGATACATAAATACATGACTCAGGAAGAAATTGATGAATATTTTCCTGATCATCTTCATAATGGTAAACGTTTTTTTCGGTACATAACATTTTTTCTACACAATTTAATAAATAAATAAATTAATTAAATTAATTAATCTAATTTAATAAATTTTTCTCACTTGAAACTTTGGTTTCCAATTTTGTTAAAAAACAAAAATTTTATCCCTGAAATTAAATTTAGTTTATTTCGAAAATAAATTTAATTATTTTAGTGCCCGAATATGATGAGGTTCAAGTAAAACATGTATTACATAAAAGAAGTCACGACAACATGGAATTGGAATTAAAAATTAATGACAAAAAACTGTACTTAAATCCAATTGAGGGATATTTTGCTGGAAAAAGAACAAAAGTTTGGAGTACCACTACTGATCCGTTAAATAGAAATAAGCTTCGTTATACATTACAAGAAGACGTAAGTTATAAAAACAAAGACAATTGTTTACTTTTTGAAATTTCATGTTATAATAATTTTATTTTAAAGATTTTTATTTTTAGATTATGGAAGATGTGGGTACATTTTATCAAGATCTAACCACTTCTTCTGCAATTTTACTTAGAATAGATGAAGAAGGAACTAGTCATATTGTTAGTAACATAATTAATCATAAAAATTATTAATTAATTAATTATTTATTATTATTATTTAATTATTTATTTATTATTTATTATAACAATTAAAAGTCGTAACTGTATGATTCAATTTTTTTTTAAATAATTAATTTATTATCAATTAACTAAAAAAAATTTTTCCTTTTTTAAGAATGGTGTAATTGATGATAATATTATATATTCCATACCAAATCATATTCATAGACGCCGGGATATATCTAGAACTAATTTATTTTCTTATAAAAATAAATCTGCAAATAATGGTTTTCATCACATAATATACAAAAGGCCGACTGGGCTTAATCACGGTATTTTATTTAATATTTTATTGTAAATTATACATTTATTCTAAAACTACCTCAGTTTTATTTTCACCGGTCTAATAATTATTTTTTTTTTATTTTTAGAGAGAATGATTAATAATAATTATCATATTAATGAGATTTTTAATTTTACAAAATCAAGATTAGGTAAACCAGAATTTATTTATCCAGAAGTGATGATCTTGTTGGACGATACATATTTCAAGTAAGATAAAATAAATAAAATTTTATCACAAAACGACAGTTTAGTTTTCCACATTACCAACTAAAAGTCAGGTAGGAAACTACATTATCGACTGCTGGTAAGTAAGGTGTCTAAATTACCGACTGTTGGTAAGTTATATGCCTGAGTTACAGACCGTTGGTAAGAAAGGCGATTGATTTACCGACTGTCAGTAAGTTATGTGCCTGAGTTACCGAATGTTGGTAATTTAGGTGACTATTTTACCGACTGTTACTAAGTACTATGCCTGAGTTACCAACTGTTGACGGGTTAGATGTCTGAAATATACTGTAGGTAAAACAGGAAACCACATTACAATCTGATGGTAAGACAGGAGACCAAATTATCGACTTCTAGTCGGTGACTGATCACCGACTGTCCCTAAGTTATATGCCAGAGTTATCGACTGTTGGTAAGTTAGGTGACTGATTTACCGACTGTTGGTATGGTATATGCCTAAGGTACCGACTGTTGGTAAGTTAGGTGCCTAAATTACCGGCTGTCGGTAAGTAATATGCCTGAGTTATCAACTGGTAGTGGGTTATATGTCTGAGTTACCGACTGTCGGTAAAATAGGAAACTACATTACCAACTGATGGTTAGACAGGAAAGTACATTATCGACATATGGTAAGTTAGATACCAGAATTACCGACTGTTGGTAAAGTGGAAAACTGCATTGCTGATCAAAAACTCATCATAATCTAACAGTGTATAAACAAAGTAATTTTTTTTAACTTCAGAAAATTTAATAATAATGTAAAGAAAGCTGTACGATATGTTTTATCATTTTGGAATGGGGTAGACTTAAGATTTAGACACCTAAAAAATCCAAAAGTATTTTTAAATATTGCTGGAATTATTGTAGCTCAGGTATTTTACAAACAGTATTACATTGTTATTTAGTTGTAAAACAATTTTTACAATAAAAAACAAATATTTTTTAAGTATACATAATATCTGATTTCATTTATTTCCAGAGTCCACTACCTTTTGTTATCGAATCTCTACGTCCTGGATATTCGACATTTATTATGTCTGAATATTGTCAAAATAGATTTGGTGAATTTATGTTTCGTGAAAAATTTTTTCAATTACAAAAAGATTATGACGCTATTATTTTGATGACTGATAAAAATCTTTTAGAAAAGGGCACAAATGATGTTCTTTCAGGTAAAGAATTATATATTGGGAGATTATGTTCTAGAATCATTAGTAGTTGGGTTTTAGTGAACTAAAAAGTTTTATATGGGATGAAAAATTAAATTCGATTTTTTAAATATTTTTACCCTTATGCGTTTAGGTATAGCAAGAGTTGGTGGAATATGCCGAAATGTAAATTATCGTAAATTGACTTTATCAACTGGAATAATTGTTGACAAAGGAGATTATCAATCTGTACTTACTGCAGCACATGAATTAGTTCATTTGTAAGGATTCTTTCTCTATATTTTTGAATATAAAATCGCAAACTATACAAAAATTAATGCTAAATATTAGAAGCTAAAATTTTGTTTGGTTATATTCTATTTTAGACTTGGACCACCTCATGATGGAGAAGGATCATTTAAAATTGTAGGTGGAAAAGGTTCCCTTGAATGTTCTTCTAAAGATGGTTACCTCATGTCTTACGTTCGTGGCAGTAGAAATGAATTTTTCTTATCTAAATGTAGCCAAAAAATAATCTCTTACTATACAAGGTGAATGAAAGATATATTTGCCTGATCAGAGAAAGGGAAAAACTTTTTTTTTACTATTTAGTTACTTTAGTCACTTTTTATTTTAGAGTTTAGAATAAAGAAAAGATTTTTAAATCATTTTAATTTTATTAGCTTAGCAGTCACTGAATGTCTTCGTAATAGTCCGTTTGAAAAAATAGGAACTCAATTGACAAGAATGCTACCAGGAAAACTAATGACACTTGATGAACAATGTCGAAAAGCTGGCTATAATTCTGCATCAAAAGTAACAAATTTTCTGCAAAAAAATATTCCAAAAAATTGCAATGAAAGAGAAGAAAATAATTTTTTAGAATCATTTTTTAAAATAATTTTCTTTTTTTTAGAAAAAAAATCCATCAGTGTGTTTGATGCTCGAGTGTTATTTAAGTGAATCTGATCAGTATGAATTATTTTCTAAGGAGACAAATGCTCCAGCAGCAGAAGGTTCGTTCTGCGGAGATCGCAGGGTAATTATCCTACAGGATACATTTTTTGAAAATAAAACGTCCATAGAATGTTATTTTAACATTCGTTCCAAAAACGATTTTGGAACATTAGGCGTTTTTTTACCTAATGGTTAATTAATTTTATTAATTAATTTTAAAATTCTTTTTTTTCATTTTTCAGTACTGTTTGAATGGAAAATGCGTACCTGAAATAGCAGAAACTAAGTTACCGGCTGTTGGTAAAATAGAAAACTACATTGCCAACTGATGGTTAGGCAAGAAATCGCATTATCAACTTCTGGTAAGTTAGATAACTAAAGTGCCGACTGTGGGTGAGTGATATGTCTAAGTTGCAAACTGTTGGTAAAACAGGAAACTACATTACCGACTGATGGATAGGCAGCAAATCACATTATCGACTTCTGGAAATTTAGATGCTTGAATTATCGTAAAGTAAATTATCGTTGATAAAGTGGAAAACTGAATTACTGACCAAAACAAACCCATCAACAAAAATCACATTTTTCCGCTTTGAATATTATAATCTCTGCCAGTAAGGGAGAGTAACTTATCGTCCGAAAGAGAAAAAACAGTTACCCATTGTACACTTTTTTCTACTGTCAAATATAAACCAAAAAATATTTTCTCTTTTTACAAAATTTTTACATTTTGTTTATAATGTTAGTTATAGTATTACAATAAATTAAAGTAAATTAAAATTAAAACACCATTGTAAAGATTTTTATTTTTAAATAAAATTTATTTTTATTATATTTAAAAGTAGACTTTTTATTAATTCAATCCTAACTGTAAATTGCATTGCAATTACAGTAGATTTCTTGTAATAAATCAAGCTACGTGACGTCGATACATATAATTATGATATTAGGTCAAAAAACATTTTAACATTTTTATTATCCTGTTTCACATTTTACTTTTTCAATAAAAATTATACATCTGGCATTTGGATTTTTATCAATGCAAATCGATTTAGACTGAATTTTTGCTTTTCATAATTTTATTGAATCAGTTCTATAAAAATTATATTTTAGAAAATTATGTACATATTCAAATTTTATTTTCCATTTATTAATATATTGCGCATTTACTATTTAAATAAGTTGAGCAATATTTCGATTAAATTTTTGTAAAAAACATGTGTATTTATTGATATTCTTAGAGATTAGTAGAATGGAGAAATTAAATTAAACAAAAAGTAAATATATATGATAATTTATTAAATTTTTTCAAACTGTTTTTTTTGTTAAATTTAATATAATATATATATTTCTTTTTAAATATTCTTTTTTTTCAAAACTTCATTTACCACTTGTATTTATTTTTGCAAAAATAAATAAAGACCAAACATCTAATATCTGATGAAATTTTTAATTCATTATTAATATATTTCAAGATAAAAATTCTTTTTAATATCCTGCTATTTTTCAGTAGTGCTTTGTAGAGTTGTATTCTAATTTTAGCTGATACTTTAAAAATTATTAACCACCATTTTTTTTCAAAATATCAAGTTCTTTAAAAATTTATATTCTGTACTATTAATAAAATAAAAAAATCCACGTATATTTATAAAATTTATCTGAACAATGATATACTTGATTTTATTTTGTGCAATGTTTGCGCAATTTGTGTGGTCTGATGAGGTAATTAAAATTTATTTATTAATTTATTTCAAAACTCATACAGATTTATTAAGGGGGGAACACCAGTTGTAACTCAAGAAATAATGCTTTTTACAAGAATATTTTCCAAAAGAACAATGAATCTTTTTAAAGAATACTATTTATTAGTTAAAAGTACATGTTAAAAGCTGTAATTTAAAAGAAAAAAAAAATTTTTTTAATAAAAACTTTTAGAGATATGAGCCATTGAAGTGGCGCCTTAAGAAAAAAGGCGAATTGCGGTGACCAGCATTCTGCAAGTATACTTCGTCTGAAATACAAAAATGAAATTGATTTACATTTATTATAAGATTATCTAGTTCGTGATCGAAGGATTTAAAAAAAAAAAAATTTGACAAAATGGCGACCTGTCAAAGTCAAAAGTATAATTTTCGTTAAAAAAATACGGTCGATTTTCAGCTATATAAAAAAAAAGTTTTGCATAAAAAAAAATCCTTCTATCACGAACTAGACTTATATGTGTAAATGAAGCACATTAAATTTTAAATAAATCGGTTTCATGGTATTCGAGTAATCGTGGTCACCGACTTGGAAAATGTCATTTTGAGAAAAACGCATTCAAAGTTTCAACTTACTTTTTTTTGTTCAGAAGAAATTTTGTTTCCAATTTACAAAGAGTCATCGATTCCTGGACCATATAATAACTCTTCCGCAGTGGTTGCCGTTTCTAAATCATAGGAAAAGGCCATCTGTCGTTAGGGTCAGGTATGGCTGGCCACCTTGTCTGAAGCCACGGGACGCGCCGCTGCAGTGTTCTGTATATCTCATTTATTTTTCACCGAATCAAGTTTAAAATTTACAGACACATTTCTAAATATGTATATGTACTTTAAGAAAATGCAAAAAAAAATAGATTTTTCGAAAGTTACAACTGGTGTTCCCCCCTTAAGGAAACCCTTTTGTACATAGGTACTAAATGCAAGTGTAAAATTAACAATTTTTTAATTTGGTAAAAAATAAATTTTTTAAAAATACATTTACTTATATAATTTTTTCTTCATAGTATTAAATATTTTTCTTTTTGAAAATTATAAAATATTATCAATTTTTTTAGACTCTAACTGACAAAATTAATGGAATTGATCGCAACTTGTATCTAAATCCAAAACAAGGTTTTTTCGCTGGGAAGAGAACAAAAATTTGGACAGCAAAAATTAATCCAAACAATCCAGATAAATTTATTTATTCTGCACGCAGTGGGGTGAATATAAAAAAAGAATTAAATATGAAAAAAAATTTTCTCAGTTTTATCAATTTTTATTTATATACTAATTTTTTCAAAAAAAAAAGGTAATGGAGAAAGTGGGTACTTTTTATCAAGATAGAAAAACATTATTTTCGCACACAATAGACGTTAAACAAAGAACAATCTACAAACGTGATGTTGAGCTTGATGAAAATTTAAATATCCCGGAAAAATCAAAATTAGGCGATCCAGAAATTATATATCCGGAAATTATGATATTTGTCGACGATGCACTCTTTTCGTAAGCTCTAATTTTTTTTACTAATATTATGATACTTTTCTCTACTATATATACTATCTTTAATGTTTTCTATAATATGTTCCAGTCGTTTCAATAAAGATGTTGAAAAAACTGTGAAATACATTCTTGCTTTCTGGAATGGTGTTGACTTACGCTATAGAGCTTTTAAAACACCTGAAATATTTTTAAACATCGCAAGAATTATTTTAGTTGAGGTATATTTATATTTTCTCTAATTCAATTTTATTGAAATTTTACTTTTACGATATAACTTTACGTTTAAAATTTGCATTATTTACAGGGTCCCCTTCCCTTTGAAAAAAATACTTCTCCATCTAATGACAGAAACAAAATATTTGATACAAGGATTTTGAATTCTTTTGGACAGTATTTGTATAATGAAGACAGAATTGGATTTAAACGGGACTACGATGTTGCTATATTAATGACGGGAAAGGATTTGATAAATGAAAACTATGGAAACTTTACAACAGGTGAGTTATAACTTTTTTGATTTTTAAAAATTTAATTTTAAATTAATTTTAGTATTACTTTAATAATATTTGAATTTATTTGATTTTATGATTGAATTTAATTATTCATTTTTACTATAATGAATTAACTATTCTGCTGCCCAAAGTAAAATACTAGTAAGTCGCAACACGAGGTTGAGATTGAAATTTTGTCTCAAATATATAAAAAATAATGAAATATATAGTTAAATGATTGAAACAATAAGATTTATGTTTTCTATGTTGATTATTGTTCAATAATTATAAAAATTTAATGTTTTTATTAATTTCAATCTATTACAGTTTATTATTAACATTTGTCGATAAAATCAATAGAGCCACACTTTTTAGAAGGTAGGTGACAGCACTTTTCTTCCGTTCCTTAAATAATTCCAGTAATTTTTTTATCAAAAGCAAATCTTATATTTGTTAAACTTAAATATTGGTCAAAAAATGTATTATTTTATAAATCTAAATAAATTTTGTGATTTCCTGAATACTTCGACATCCCGGCAAGAAGTCTGGAATAGAAAAAAATTAAAGTTGTCTCATATTGGTAAACGAAATTGAAAAATTTTAATTCCATTTAATACCTGATTTTTCCACTTTTTCAAAGTCATCGAAATAAAAAAGATGGCCAACGAAATGAATTCCACTTAATTCTAAAATTCGTTTTATATTACTTAAAAATCGGTAAGTGTGCTTTCTATTATAATGACAATTGTACACATTTTTGTGCTTCGAAAATAATTTGCTCATGATTTTAATTAAAAGTAATAGTGAATGAATTTGCAGTGTCATTTCTGTTCAATGTGAAAGAAATAAATGATTTATAGAGAATATATTGTTGGAAAAAAGTTTAATAAATTTAAACGTAACATAGCACCAAAGTCTTAACCCGGAAGTTGTCTACACAAATTAAACGGTGCACTTTATAATTGGTCCAGGGGATGCTAAGTTACACTCAATTAAATTTATGAAAAATTTTCGAAAAATTAAATTTTCGAGATAATTGTCCGGGAATACCGCCAAAGTCTTAAGCAAAAAGTAGCGAACAAAAAATGTATGGGGCACTTTTTGATTGGTCAAGCGGATGCTGAGCTACACTTGAAAACAAATTTGGAAAAAATTCAGAAAAATTAAATTTGCGAGATAATCGTTCCGGAATACCGCCATTAAAATAGGGAAAAAGTTTCGAACAAAAAATGTATAGCGCACTTTTAGATTGGTCCAGCGGATGCTGAGTTATACTCAATTAAATTTATGAAAAATTGTTGAAAAATTAAATTTTCGAGATAATCGTTCGGGAATACCGCCAAAGTAGTTAGAAGAAAGTTCTGAAAAAAATATATAGCGCACTTTTTGATTGGTCCAGCGGATGCTGAGCTACATTTGAAAACAAATTTGGAAAAAATTCAGAAAAATTAAATTTTCGAGATAATCGTTCGGTAATACCGCAAAAGTAATTAAAAGAATGTTCTGAACAAAAAATGTATGGCGCACTTTTTGATTGGTCCAGCGGATGCTGAGCTACACTTGAAAACAAATTTGGAAAAAATTCAGAAAAATTAAATTTTCGAGATAAACGTTCGGGAATACCGCCAAAGTAGTTAGAAGAAAGTTCTGAACAAAAAATATATAGCGCACTTTTTGATTGGTCCAGCGGATGCTGAGCTACACTCAATTAAATTTATGAAAAATTTTCGGAAAATTAAATTTTCGAGATAATCGTTCGGGAATACCGCCAAAGTCTTTAGCAAAAAGTAGCGAACAAAAAATGTATGGCGCACTTTTAGATTGGTCCAGCGGATGCTGAGCTACACTAGAAAACAAATTTGGAAAAAATTTAGAAAAATTAAATTTGCGAGATAAACGTTCGGGAATACCGCCAAAGTAGTTAGAAGAAAGTTCTGAACAAAAAATATATAGCGCACTTTTTGATTGGTCCAGCGGATGCTGAGCTACACTTAAAAACAAATTTGGAAGAAATTCAGAAAAATTAAATTTTCGAGATAATCGTTCGGGAATACCGCCAAAGTAGTTAGAAGAAAGTTCTGAACAAAAAATATATAGCGCACTTTTTGATTGGTCCAGCGGATGCTGAGCTACACTTGAAAACAAATTTGGAAAAAATTTAGAAAAATTAAATTTTCGAGATAAACGTTCGGGAATACCGCCAAAGTAGTTAGAAGAAAGTTCTGAACAAAAAATATATAGCGCACTTTTTGATTGGTCCAGCGGATGCTGAGCTACACTCAATTAAATTTATGAAAAATTTTCGGAAAATTAAATTTTCGAGATAATCGTTCGGGAATACCGCCAAAGTAGTTAGAAGAAAGTTCTGCACAAAAAATATATCGCGCACTTTTTGATTGGTCCAGCGGATGCTGAGCTACATTTGAAAACAAATTTGGAAAAAATTCAGAAAAATTAAATTTTCGAGATAATCGTTCGGGAATACCGCCAAAGTAGTTAGAAGAAAGTTATGAACAAAAAATATATAGCGCACTTTTTGATTGGTCCAGCGGATGCTGAGCTACACTTGAAAACAAATTTGGAAAAAATTTAGAAAATTTAAATTTTCTAGATAAATGTTCGGGAATACCGGCAAAGTGTTTAGCAAAAAGTAGCGAAAAAAATGTATGGCGCACTTTTTGATTGGTCCAGCGGATGCTGAGCTACACTTGAAAACAAACTTGGAAAAAATTTAGAAAAATAAATTTTCCGGACAAACGTTCGGGAATACCGCGAAAGTCTTTAGCAAAAAGTACCGAACAAAAAATGTATGGCGCACTTTTTGATTGGTCCAGCGGATGCTGAGCTACACTTGAAAACAAATTTGGAAAAAATTTAGAAAAATTAAATTTTCGAGATAAACGTTCGGGAATACCGCCAAAGTAGTAAGAAGAAAGTTCTGAACAAAAAATATATAGCGCACTTTTTGATTGGTCCATCGGATGCTGAGCTACATTTGAAAACAAATTTGGAAAAAATTCAGAAAAATTAAATTTTCGAGATAATTGTTCGGGAATACCGCCAAAGTAGTTAGAAGAAAGTTCTGAACAAAAAATATATAGCGCACTTTTTGATTGGTCCAGCGGATGCTGAGCTACACTTAAAAACAAATTTGGAAAAAATTCAGAAAAATTAAATTTTCGAGATAATCGTTCGGGAATACCGCCAAAGTAGTTAGAAGAAAGTTTTGAACAAAAAATGAATGGCGCACTTTTTGATTGGTCAAGCGGATGCTGAGCTACACTTGAAAACAAATTTGGAAAAAATTCAGAAAAATTAAATTTTCGAGATAATCGTTCGGGAATACCGCCAAAGTAGTTAGAAGAAAGTTCTGAACAAAAAATGTATGGCGCACTATTTGATTGGTCCAGCGGATGCTGAGTTACTCTCAATTAAATTTATGAAAAACTTCAGAAAAATTAAATTTTCGAGATAATTGTTCGGGAATACCGCCAAAGTAGTTAGAAGAAAGTTCTGAACAAAAAATATATAGCGCACTGTTTGATTGGTCCAGCGGATGCTGAGCTACACTCAATTAAATTTATGAAAAATTTTCGGAAAATTAAATTTTCGAGATAATCGTTCGGGAATACCGCCATAGTCTTTAGCAAAAAGTAGCGAACAAAAAATGTATGGCGCACTTTTAGATTGGTCCAGCGGATGCTGAGCTACACTAGAAAACAAATTTGGAAAAAATTTAGAAAAATTAAATTTGCGAGATAAACGTTCGGGAATACCGCCAAAGTAGTTAGAAGAAAGTTCTGAACAAAAAATATATAGCGCACTTTTTGATTGGTCCAGCGGATGCTGAGCTACACTTAAAAACAAATTTGGAAGAAATTCAGAAAAATTAAATTTTCGAGATAATCGTTCGGGAATACCGCCAAAGTAGTTAGAAGAAAGTTCTGAACAAAAAATATATAGCGCACTTTTTGATTGGTCCAGCGGATGCTGAGCTACACTTGAAAACAAATTTGGAAAAAATTTAGAAAAATTAAATTTTCGAGATAAACGTTCGGGAATACCGCCAAAGTAGTTAGAAGAAAGTTCTGAACAAAAAATATATAGCGCACTTTTTGATTGGTCCAGCGGATGCTGAGCTACATTTGAAAACAAATTTGGAAAAAATTCAGAAAAATTAAATTTTCGAGATAATCGTTCGGGAATACCGCCAAAGTAGTTAGAAGAAAGTTCTGAACAAAAAATATATAGCGCACTTTTTGATTGGTCCAGCGGATGCTGAGCTACATTTGAAAACAAATTTGGAAAAAATTCAGAAAAATTAAATTTTCGAGATAATTGTTCGGGAATACCGCCAAAGTAGTTAGTAGAAAGTTCTGAACAAAAAATATATAGCGCACTTTTTGATTGGTCCAGCGGATGCTGAGCTACACTTGAAAACAAATTTGGAAAAAATTTAGAAAATTTAAATTTTCTAGATAAATGTTCGGGAATACCGGCAAAGTGTTTAGCAAAAAGTAGCGAAAAAAATGTATGGCGCACTTTTTGATTGGTCCAGCGGATGCTGAGCTACACTTGAAAACAAACTTGGAAAAAATTTAGAAAAATAAATTTTCCGGACAAACGTTCGGGAATACCGCGAAAGTCTTTAGCAAAAAGTAGCGAACAAAAAATGTATAGCGCACTTTTTGATTGGTCCAGCGGATGCTGAGCCACACTCAGATAAATTTTTTAAAAAATGTCGAAAAAATAATTTTGCGAGTTAATTGGTCGGGAATACCACCAAAGTCTTAACCCGGGAGTCTTGAACAAAAAATGTATGGCGCACTCTTTGATTGGTCCAGCGGATGCTGAGCTACACTAGAAAACAAATTTGGAAAAAATTCAGAAAAGTTAAATTTTCGAGATATTCGTTCGGGAATACCGCCAAAGTAGTTAGAAGAAAGTTCTGAACAAAAAATGTATGGCGCACTATTTGATTGGTCCAGCGGATGCTGAGTTACTCT